CTGAATGATGTTTACCATGCCTTGATAATCATCCAAGCTTCGATTTGCTTGTTGTATGTTGTTTTCAACCCAGATCTGCTCAATAAGGCCATTTAAAACTTCACGCATCTTCTTAGCCCTAGCTCGCGTGACTGGACCTCCTTGGCTATGTAACGGATCACATGACGTAGTAGATATGTTGTTGTCTTGATTCCCATCATTTTCTTAAGTATCAGAAGATCAAGCTGTGAGGTTAACATCAAGAACGAGATCAAGCATTCTCTCCACAAGCCCCCAAAGCAGTCATCCATTCTTCTCCCATCACCACTCCTGAGTTTACTTCCTTTTGTTCTTGAAAGAACTCCAAGAGGGGAACCATTGCATTTTTCATCTTCAACATGAGGGTTGTTTGTTATAGAGTCAAGATATTTGCTAGAAATGATAGAGGTCACCTCTATTGCCATTATTATTATGTCACAATATTTTACGCGCAAAGGTGATTCTCAAGTTGTAATTTTTAAACCTCATGTATTCCTCATCTTTACCACCCCTTCAATGATGTACATTTTCTTTCCATTGTTGTGGTAGTTGTACAATCAACTTGGGCTCTTGAGTCTTTGTCATCGCTGACTAGCTTTACTTGCTTGGCTGGAAAGTTCACATTTCTCGACTTTTCTAGAGAACTCCCTATAGGATATCACCGTTGGACGGAACAAGATGGCTCGTAGCACGTAGCCTTTTGCATGTGAAACATGTGCCTCCAAAAGAACCCTCCTCATTTCTTTTTACGGGTGGCATTCCAATCAGCCTCCACATCATGACCACTACTGACTCATCAACCTACATCACCGACACACCCCAACAATCCCCAAAATCATATTGTTTGATGCTAATTAAAAGCTTAAAATCCCATTCAAAACCAACCAGAGATCTTGCCTTGGTCACCATCAGCAACTTGCAGCTGCATTCATTGCAAAGGTTGGCTGCACAAGTTACAATGCATGGGAAACTATTGAAAAAGATCACATTTTGTCTGTGAAATCCACCAAAATCCTATGCAAATTTTATTTTGCTGGCTACACTCAATTATCCCCCCAAAAATGAAATTTCGTATGGCTAGAGAGTTACCAAAAATGGACAATCTTTAGTAGATTAGCAGTGCTTCACTAGAATCAATGGTGCTTACATTGTTAAATGCCTATGTCATTCCATGTTTTTAACTTTTAGAAAAAATGATTTAAAAATAATTTTTTTATTACTTTTTATAATTTGACGTATCATTTAAAATGATAATGATTAATTCTTTTATTTATTTAAAATTTATGATATTAAGTACATCTATTAATTAATGACTTACAAAAATTATATAAAAATATCATTTAAATAATTGATTATTTTATATATTAAAAACTCATAATATTAAATACATCTATTTATTTAAATAATATATAAAAATTATATAAAATAATTATAAAAAAATTATTCTTATATCCTTCCATTGTTTGAAAAATCCCATGTAATAAAAGATGCTTAGCTGGACATAAAAATGATCCACGAATGTTTCTGCAGACCCAAACGCACCAAGAAATTAGTGGCCCCTGAAAATTACAGTGACATTATTTTTAGGTGGTAATATAAGGATAATTATTTAGATAATATATTTAATATTATGAGTTTTAAGTAAATAAAAAAATAATTATTTAGATGATTTATATAATTATATAAAAAATAATAAAAAAATTATTTTTAAATCATTTTCCTTTTTTTATTTTCCCAGTCAATTGATATTGTAATATTTAAATGACCTGGAAATTACATATAATTAAATACAACAAAAACCCCGTCTTCTTCTCCCCCTAATCTTCATTTCCCTTCTCAATCTTCTTGTAACTGTCCATTAAAAGAAAACAGACCATGATGAACCCAGGAAATTCAAGAATCCCATTAACCCTAATAACTTTCACTCTCAAATCCCGTTAACTTGTTCATTAAAAAAAAAAAAAATCAGAGAAATGAAAAGTACTTCACAAGCGGAGGGTGAGCTAGGTTAATATTGGCAGAATCATCTACATCCGTGGTAGTAGAGAAAGCATGGGAAATCGAAACGCCCAGAAAGCTCTGAGGGACTGAGCGGGAAGGAACCCACTGGGTTCCTCCGAATCCCAGGTCTAGGTTCGCGAGGAACGCAGCACTAGTACCTCATGAACCTGGTGCTCCGTTTGCGCGAACCCAGTCAATGCCACCCCTGCTAGGAACGTGGACGGGGGAAGAGAAATGGTAGCCGGAAAAGGGAAGAAGAGAAGTACATGAGAAACGAGTTGAAGGGGGCAGAAGATGGAGAGGGGAGGTGTTGAAAGAAAGTACGAGGATGAAGAAAAGATATCTATGGGGTATTCGGTCATTTCATTATTTTTAAATAAATTTAATTTTCTATTAAAATAAGTAGCTTCTTAATTTTATTCTTGTTTTATCTTTTCCATTTCATTAAACTAAATTTGTTCAACTAGGATATCCAGCTAAGCTCTCGCAACTAACGTGTCGTTGACATGTCATCAAAAAATATCATTTTGGATAGGTTTAAGAGCTTTGTTAATATTTAACTAACTAAAGGATTAAAAAAGATAGTTTACAAAATTAAAGGATTAAAAAAATAAAAAAATGGAAAGATGAAATTTATTCAAAATTGAAAGTTGAAGGATCAAATTTGGAATTTTCTTAGATGGACTTTCCAACCAGATCATTTAGTTCACATTTCATTCACTTTATGCACTTTTACATCATTAAACTTTGGTTAAATGCCAAGTTTCCCAGGGTTTTGTATAAATTTTGTTCTTTTAACTTTTTTTGATTTTGTATAAATTAGTTTGTTAAATTCATTTAGATATGTATATTTTTAATTCTTAAGTTTATAATTCTTAAACTTATAAATTTAGGAATTAAAAATATGGTTTAGTGATTATCAATATGTATATATAGATAAATTTAATGAATTAATTGACAAATAGATGAAAAAATAGATTTTTTTTTTTAAGTTAAAGGATAAAAAAATACTTTAAATAGTTAAAGAAAAAAAACTATATAAAATTTTAAAATTAAGGAATTAAAATTGACATTTAACTTTATATTTTTAATTCACGATAATATTTTAAAGTTTTTAAAACTATCTGAGGTAGATTAATAGACATTCCTCCCTCTTGCAAAGTCTCTAAAGGCAAAGTTCCTTGTGTAGCGAATTGTTCTTCCAACCAATCCCTACAAAGGTGGACCACATAGAAGGAGAAAGGTTACCGGGAAAATTTGACTTTTTTTATCATAAAAGGATATTTGAGTAAGTAACGCGTTCACATTCAAAGACTTTCACCGGAGCACGATTTAAAGATTTTTGAGAAATCAGTAGTGTTTCATAGCATAAATGGTCGAAATATCCATAATCTAACAAATAACATACATGACTGAAAGAAAAATTGAGTATTAACCACATCTTTATTCATAAAAAATAAGTAAATAAATTATTTAACCAAACGCTTATCCTTCTAGTAATAGGCACAGCTGAAAGGGTAAATTTTAATAACAAATTTTTATAAAAAAATAAAATAAAATAAAAAATTGAGTTTGACTTTGTCAAAAATCAAATTAAAATTATTCGTATAGCATTTGCTTTGAAAATAATATCTATTTTTATATTTTTGTAAGGTAATTAATTGTTAAAATGTGTAATACATACACTCTTAAAAGGCATAAGCTTAGAAAAACAGTTAGTAATAAGGTAATGACGTTATATATCCACCAGGTCAGCGAAAGCTAATTGCATGTAGCTAATTCATATCCTCATGTCACGAGTTACAATAGCAAGATTATGAAGATTCGAACTCACAAAAATACATTACCCTGAAGGGCCACATCACACATACTATTCCCCGATCACAGATCATTGGGGACACTCAGAAGATGAGATCGATTAAATGGAGCCAATCAACGGGGTACATGCCTCAACATTTACCCGTGGCGGGAAAAAGAATACACCAGATAACTATTACACCAGCAACTTACCATCATGTTGCATGAGCAACATGGGTTCTTGAAGCCCATATACCAAAGACAAGAAACCAGAACACAAATAAGATAGCCCAGTAGCGTGCTGGTCCATACTTGATCCTAGTTAACACAAACTGCAGGTTTTAAATAACAACCGTGAGAAGAAAAAAAATTACCACAATAGAACAATTACGAGATTATCTGATGCCAACTCAAAGATGTATGCTCAAGTGCCAATGAGGTCCCTTGGTCAAACTATCATGCAGCATGCACTACTAAAAATGTTAATTAATTATAATTAAACAGATTTTAATTAATAGTTTTGTGTTGTATATGTTAGTAATCATACAAATTTACAAAACCATCAACACTACCACAGTTTTTGACAGTAGCACAACATAAAAAACAGCCAGACAATACATAGCACTAAATGACAATTGGAAAGAGACCCTTAGTCCTAGTCTCAAGGCAAAAGGGAGATGAGACAATAGAAACTAGAATCATAATAATAGCAAGAATTGGAAGGTTTACTGTTTAGCAGTAAAATTTACAAATTTTTAAATTAAGCAATGCAAAATATTCAAGGTTCTTAACAATCCAAATTCAAACTAAAACACAAGGGGGTCAATAGGGTTGCTACTTTTCAGTCATGTTTGATTGGGATCAAAGAGTATTCCTTGACCAAACTATAAAAATAAGACAAACTTAAGATACTTAAGAAGCTACGAATACCTATTCCTTCACATTGACAATTGCCTACTAAATTAGTAGACAATTCATTTATAGTTATTACCAAATTACCTCAAGGAATAGGTATTCCTAACTTCTTAAGTTTATTAATTTTGCCTTGTTTCTATGGTTTGGACAAGGAATGGTCATTACTCCCAAACATAACCTTAAGGGAGACAATTTGTCGAAGTCCCTGTTCTGTAATGTGCCATCCCAAGTTAAGATAATGATTAAATACCATGCTCTTTTTTCTATCATTTCACTTATTCAACTTAAACAGAATTTAAAAGAGTGGATATAATAGGATTTCTAAACTGATTTTAGTCCAATCAATTAACACAGAAACAAGCACCAACCAACACACACAGAGGTGTGCTGGAATCTAACAATATCAATGCCCCCATAAACCCACACCTAAAGACAAAAATAACCTACCTTCTTTTCTTTAATCACAATTGACCAACACACACACAAATTTCTTATCTTACAATGATCAGGCATACAAACTCCTGTTTGTTTACCAAGCTGAAGAGTACAATATCCTACCCATTTTATTTATTTAACCACAACAGGCACAGAATATATTATTCTTGCCAGCTATAATATTAAGGGCTGATTAGTACAGTAAGCCTACAAACACAAATACAAAAGCCATCTCTGCTACAATATGTCCCAACTGCTTTAACTGAATTTTCCTTCGGATATCCAAACAGACCATAAATATATCTGACAACAAATGCCTTTTAGATAAGTATAACAGAGCAGCCAAATGATAAACATTAAACTAAAAATAAATGTTGCAAAAGTAAAAGCTAGCCAAAATCCTCACTCTTACATGACCGATGCAGACAAGGAAATCCTCTATATAATAGGATTCTATCATAATTAAGAATACATGGGAATTAAATAGTAATGTTTTTTAGTTGTTTGTATTTATTAGTATTTGATATTTTCAATAGAGATATCCTATTAAGATTCATGTTAGGGAACTAAGTCTAATTAAGGTTTTCTTTATTTCATATAAGAGCTAGTTTGTATAAAGGTTCATCGAAGTTGAATGTGATGAATTAATTCTTCCAAAAATCCCAATTTCTGCTATTCTCTTCTCATCCTTGGCTCTATTCCTATATTCACCCAAAAACCACTATCTTATTCTACTTTAGCAACTTTCTTTGTCATGTAACCAAAAAAGCTAATAGGATTTCAAGAAGTTGTGACAAAAATAAAAAGGCATATCAAGTGCAATACATGAGAAACATCAATATCTAAGGTACTCACAAAGCGAAAGAAAACCACAACCGTTAAAGCACAAATGCCTCCCAAAAGAATATGAAGACCACTTCTAGCTGTTTTCTACAAAATAAAGAGCCATATGTTATGTAAAACATACAATAATCTTCAATGACTAATCAAAATATAAATTGAACTTCAATAAAAACTGAAAACTGGAAAAATGAAACTGGTAGTTTTCCTAGTTTATTCACATAACATGATATTCTGGCATACCTTTCCAACACGAGGGGCAATGAGCCATGCAAGTGTGACAGTAAGTAGCCCTGTAGCAAGAAGAATTCCAATACCTTCCACAGCCCATTTGGTTGCAGGATTTTCGGAAGGGATAGCTTCTTCATTGACAATGGTCAAAGGTTGTTCAGAAACAACCTGTGAAACTGCAACAGAATTATTGTTGTTGTTGTTGTTACTATTGTTATGTGGATTAAACCACAATGAAATCTCGCTTAGTCGTTGCCTTTGGATGGCAGCAACAGCATCAGGGTCTACACCTGAGCTTATATGAACCTGTGCAGGATTGGGATCTCCATTAGCAGTCCTTTCCCTTAATGTTTCATAATCCTTCAAAGAAAGCACAACTTTCTTGAAATCAGCTGTCCTTATATTTTTGGCAACATTTCCACAGATTTCACAAACGGTAGACCCATGATTAACAAACCATTTTAAAGCGCAAGCATAATGCACTAGGGCTAGATCACTTTTGCAGGAACAGCCAAGTTCAAATAATTTGTCCTCCTCGTGATAAGAACCCATTTCTAAGTCAGTATTACAAATAAAGACCTCCCCTTTAGGACTTACGAACTTAATAACCCTAGATTGTCTTCGAATATTCTTATCAAAGGACTTATCACCATCAAAATCTATGAATCCTTTACCATTAGGATTTAGTTCTTCATTACTTTCACATTCTTCTCGTAAAGGAGGAGTGATGCCCAAAAATCCTAATGCAGCATCCCCCCTTTTGTCAGATTCTGTACATTGGCACACACGACAAGTTGCCATGCTTGTCTCTGTGTCTAGACTAAACCGGGAATGAGTCTGAGAATCTTCATTCTGAAAAGGAGGGCAGCCATCACCATTAACCCCCCCATTTATTGTTTGGGATAAATTTTCCTTAGCCATGTTATATTAAACAAAATGGAAAGTTGTCTTTAGTCTGCCATTTCACCTTGCACAATCTCACAAGAAGAGTAAATCCCTACTTTTAATCTGTATGCAATAGAAAAGAACCACTTCTCCACTTCTCTTTCCACACAAAACAGAAACTTCCAAAGCACTTCCAACCCTTCGAAAAATGGTGCTTAGTGATTTTAACATAATCCGTGCACAAAAGATGAGGACACAGCACCAGGAAGGAGATACTATAGAATATCTAATATTGTTTTTGATAGATTCCTGAATCAAAATAATACAAAAGAAAATATCCTTATTTAACAGTCACACTTTCATGTGAAAAGTCATATTCTGTCTTACGAAATTTAATTCCATAAAATAGAAAGCAATATGAATCAGAAGCGAATAACTAGAATAACTAGACGAAAACATTTCATAAAATTAATATTTAGAGCTGAAGACAGGCAGCAGAAATGAGTTAACACAGATTCCACCATTTGAAATCACGACTCCTAGAGAGAAAGAATAATCTATATTTGATTCTGTTTCTTCCTTCTAGAGTCCAAATGACAAATCCAATTAACCAAGAGACAAATCATTTACAAGAAGGAAAAAAAAAAAAAAAAAACGGAAATCACAACTGGAACACAGGCCCAAAAAACCAAAAAACAGAACAGTGATATCAAGAGTGAAAACCCTAGAAAAGCCACAAACAAGATCAGAGGAATGAACGTGAGTGAAATTAAAAGAGACGGACCGGAAAGGCAACACCGTCACTGGTAGTGATCGTCGACGGCGAAGAGTGTCCGTGTTGAGCGAATCTAAATTTGGCTGAACGGCTGGAGTGAGGTGAAAAAACGTGGAAATGGAGTATTGTGGCTATTGTCCTCTTGTATTAGACCATATCACTTCCATAGGATACCAACCAAGGCTACACGTTCTCAGTTGGGAATGGTATCCCGGGTCCCCACTCCCGTTTTTACCATTTTTACCGAAAAAATATATTTTTATTAGTAAGTGGTTTAAATATAAAATGGTTTTCTAACCTTCTTAAATATATTTATCACATTTTTTAACATTAATTTAAATAAAAAATTGACATCAATTTTATTAATTATTTAATTAAAAAATACATTTGCTTAAGTGTTAAAATTCAAGTTATCTCTTTTTATTTTTCTATTTAAATTAATGTTAATTAAATACTCTTTAACTTTAAAATATAGATTAGATAAATATTAAATTTAATTGGGAATTTTTATAAATAAAATTAAAAGTTGAATTAAATATTATGAGTAAATATTAAATTTAGTCTCAACCATTATTATAAATATTAAATATTATCTTATTTTTTATTTAAATCAAAAATGATCGCAAACCTTTTTAAAATTACAAATTTTAATCCATTAGCTACTTTCATTCAATTCCTAATAAAAATCCCATTTAAAATTTTAAGAAACAACCAAAACACTTAAATAGTAAAAAGAAGAATAAAAAATTATTAAACCACTCAGTTTTCAAACACCAGAAGTATATATATATATATATATATATATATATGAACATCCTTGAATCCTATATATATATAGATATATAACTTTTTTTTTCTTTTAAAAAACTCCAAATATCTATTTCTTATTTTTTTACTTCAATTTAATATAATTCCCCTGCTTCAATTATAATTTAATAATATAATAAATTTTATAAATTAAATATATTTTTATTATAATTTATTTTTCATCTAAATGACTATTGTATAAAATACATCAAAAAAAATATAGAATAAAAATTCATTTCAAATTATAGGATTTCAACCTCTGACATACATAGAAACCCTTATATGCGAAGAAAAAACCAAAAGAATTTCCCAAACAAATTTCAAAAATAAAAAAGAGTTAAGGTTTTTAAAGAATTCAAAATTTAATAAAAATAATTTTAGAATAATGAAAATTAAAAGAAAATTTCTATAAAAATTTCTATTAAACCTCCAAAATTCTAACTAAGATTTTCATTGGAAATTTAATGGAACTAACAGTAAGATTAAGTTTGGTAATTTTGAAAAGATTGAGAATCATTTTTAGTTCGAATATCTGATATTTATGGTAAAAATTGAAGACTAAATTTGATATTTACCCAAATATTATTGATCAAACTTTAAAAAATTTTATTTGAGTTTCCTAAGAGTCTCCCTTAGTGTTTGTTTGAATAAAAATTAGTAAATGGGAGGCAAGGGATGGGAGGAAAAGGGAAGTGAAGAGAGAAGTGAAGGGAAGGAAAGCATTGATATTACCCTTATTTGGATAGACGAAGTGGAGAAAAGAGAAAGATAATACTTTTATTTAATTAAATAATTTAAAGAAAAGCAAAATAAAATATTAAAAATTTACAAATTAAAAAAATAATTGAAATAAAATATTTTTATATATGTATTTTTTAAATAATTAAAAATGTAAATCAAATCCCTCGCAATCTCTCTAATTTGGAGGGATAAAAAACAAAGAAGTGAAGGGGGCTTCATCTCCTTCCCCTTCATTAATAAAAAAATCCAAACAAGACAAGGGTGAAATCTTCCTCTTACTCTCCTCCCTTTTTCATCCAACTCCCCCAATCTAAACATATGTTTTTTTAAGTTTTTGGTATATTAGAGAGTTACTTGCTTGACATCATAGAGATTTGAATATTTAACCTTGGCTCAAAACCAATGTTTTTAAGTTAATGGATACCAACTTGATCAAGCTCTTGTTGGTTTAAATATATGTTAAATAGAAGTAAAAGAACATGTATTATGATGATGTAGCATTTGGGGGAGACTCTACAAGAATCTCTCAATGAAATGCTCTTAATGAGCTAATTTCATTATAGTAAGAGTACTAATCACTCCAAATAATAAAATGATAGTTAGGTATCGTCTCATAAAGTCTTTATAACATCCCATATACTTTAGTGAATAAATTATAAATTAGAATCCTCTATTTTAAAGTTTTAGAGATTAAATTGATTAAATTAAAAGTTTGGGGATTGTAGTGGAATTTGGTAGAAGTTGAGGGATGTCTAACTTTAATGTCATTTTTTTTGTGCCATGTGACATAATATTTACCAAGCAAATTCATGCGCAGACTAAGAAAACCTTAGAAAACCTATGAGTCTCCTCTAGAAGATTTTAGAAACAAAATCTCCTTTTGACTTAAAAAGCTTTTAAATGACCTTAGCTACTCTTGAAAACCCATTTCTCTTTACTCTTTTTTAGCTTCAACCGAGTGTGAAAAGGGACTTCTGGGGATTTCAACAAGTGGATTCAACAAGGGGAATTGTCCAATGGATTTCCTCTTTAATTCCTATTGTTTTCTTCAACTTAGTGCCTTGATTTCAATAGTATGAGTTTTAGCTATGGATTTGGGTAGACTATAGATTTGCTGTGATATACTAAGAATTACTTTAAGTTAGTGCAATTTGACTTTAAATTCTTTGTTTAAGAGACTTTTTGGGTATTAAAATTATATTTAGAAATATTCATATTTTGGGTGTACATGGGTTTTGGGATAGAATTTAGAAATGTGTTTTAATTTCATACTTGGCTTTAGTATGAAGATCTATTGTCTATGATTTCTATTGTTGCTATGTATTCCATGTGCCTGCTTTGTGTGATGATTTTCTTTGGAATTAATATGATAAAATAATTCCATATATTTATTTGAAATTTTGGAGTGTTATCCATGACGTTGGATGGGAACTAGTGTTCCTTAATTATATGATGATGCATTAATTACAAATGTTTGAGAAGGAAATCAATTTCAAGTCTTATGAGTGAAATCCACAACTAAACATGAGATGTTGTCATAAATCAAAATTTTAATAGAATTTTATTTCTATTTTAACTGATATGTTTGTCTTTGCTTTCCTTGTTAGGTTTATGAGCAAAAGGGGCTTTTGCGAAGAAGATTGGAAAAAGAGATGAAAGAAATTAAGATAAGGGACGCAATTGAAGAAATGGAAAGTTGAAGGGGTGAACACATTAAAGTTAAAACTTCAAACCCAAAACCCAAACCCAAAAATCTAAAACTTCAAAACCCAAAACCCAAAGCCCACCAATTACCCAAAGCCCACCAACTACCCAAAACCCAGAACCCAAAACCAAAAGAACTACCCAAACCCCAAAATCCAAAACCCCTAAAAAAAAAGACGGTAAAAGTCAAACCTTCTTCTTCCTCACCCTCACTTTCGGCCTCACTCTCTCCCGACCCCTCCTCCTCTTCAAATCAGCAGGCAGCCACCCCTCAAACTGCCGGCGGTGAAGCTTCTCCATGCCCCAAAACCTCTTCCTCTTCTTCCTCATAAACTCCCGGCCTCCTCTCTCGCTGAATTTTCTTCTTCCACCGAGAACAGCCAGCAATCCTCCCTCGAGCCGCCGGTGATCATGGCTTCCAAAACCATCAAACCCCATACCGAGCCTTCACCTTTTACCCTCATCATCGATTTCTCCTTCCAAACTTTTTACTTTAGTTTTCCTCTCGTCTTCAATCTCGGATCCAGTGTCACCGGAGGAGGTTAAAGGCGAGTGAAAGTTACAATTGGTATGAGTGAAGTCAGATCTGTTGATCGGGGATGGTGGTGATGTCTACGCAGGACAGCGGCGACGGTCGGAAAACGGCAACTCAACAGTTTGTACCTGAACTGCCCGGAAAATCTATGTGCAATCGAAAAGTCAGTCCACGTGCTTGCAGAAGGACCAGGCTACCTCTCTTGAAGATCGACCCAAGACCCTTACTATTGGGCCTTTCGCAGCAAATGTGAACTTGGATTGGGTATAGTTTGGGTCCATTTTTGTCATGGATTTAGGCTTGGTTTTGGATAGTAGAATAGGGTTTTTCTGAGCAATATAAATAGACCTTTAGACGAGGGTTTTGGGGGAGGTTCTTTTGGCTTGAGTCTGGTGTTGACGGGGGAGAAAAAGAGGGGTTTTTCTATTGGAAGGAGACTGGTGTTTGAGAAAGGAGATCGTCAAGTTGCCAAAGGGATTCCATCTTCGGGTTGTCATTGTTAGTTATAGCTCTGAACAGAGGATTTTTTTTCGGAAAATGGTGAAGGAGATGGTGGGAGCTTGATCCCGTCGGTGGGATTCCTCCCATCAAATCCGGATCTGTTTTCTTTTAAAAATCCACCATGCTTGTTTTATTTTTCTGTGGGTGTTTGTTTTCTTTTAGATCTGATGTTAAGCTTGTATATGCTTCGTTGGAAAAATGAATGAAAAATTATAGATTGTCCAGTTTATTAGCTTAATAAATGTGTTTATCTTTTGCCGGAAATGACATGCAGTCGGTATGAACCCTAAGTTTCTTTTTATGCCGTCCAGATTTTGTCTTTTTGTTTAAGGTTTGATCTGCTTTTTGCTTATTTGTTTGACGGATCATGTTTTTGGATCGGGACAATTTGACCCAATCCAGTTAAAAAAAAAAACACAAACAAAAAAAAAACCTAAAAAAAAGAAGCTAAAATGAACAAAAAAAAATATAAACATATATATATTACTATCATTAGTAATTAATTAGGTTAATTAGTTTAATTCATGGTTAATGAAATTAATTAATTTTAATTAAAATAAATTAATCATTTTTAGTGTTTAATTTGAGATTATTAGATTTATTTAATGATTTTAATTAAAGTTAATAAATATGATTAATTAATTGTAATTAATGTTAAATTAATCATTTAATTAAACTAATAAGCCTAGTTAATTAACTTAAACCATTAAGTTTCTTTTAATTTTGGATAAAGTAAAAATTATCTTTGTTTATTTCAAATTTTACCCTAAACTTTTATAATTAAGCAATTTAGTCCAAAAATTTTAAATATTTTCCAATTAGTCCCTCATATTTATAATTTAATCAAACTAGTCCCTTTAATTTTTATTTGCGCTTATGATGCATGCATGTCTTTGATTTTGTCTGTTTTAGTCCAAAAGTTAAAAAAAAATATTGCAATTTCATCCATCTTTTTTTTAAAGTTTGCTTATTATAAGACTTAAATATAAAGTTAATGAATAAGTTGAATTAAAACCTCAATATTAAACTATACAACCGTGTTTAAACGGAGGATTGTAAGGTGCATATATGCCATTTTTCACTTTTAATCGAATCCCCAAACTTCGATTTCTACACAAACCTGTTTTTTAAGTGACTTGTCCTACCTTATAATTTGGATAAGTGGTGACTCCTTTTCTTATATGTTTCACACTTAATCGTTTTTTGTTATTTTGAAAACTTTAAGTTTGTGGTCATCAACAGATGTTTAAAAAGGACTGCTTTAAAATGCAACTAATTAAGTGAAATAATAAATAGAATAATATTCCTATATTATTTTGGATGTATTTTGAATTTATTTGATATGTGTATGTGGTGGTGGCTATGGAGTAAGTGGATCTAAACTTAAAGCTTAAGGTATTCAGTGGACCCTTCAAGTTAATTAGTGGACCTTTGCGTAGTAGGATGAGTGTTGTGGTTAGTTCCAGTACAAGTATTGCTAGTACACATTAGTGGACTCCATAGCATTGTGTCTTTTTGTTATATGCATTTTTCTTGCAACATTCCATTTGTGAGCATATGGTTTTATTATATAAATTTGAATTAGTTGTCATTTTTCTTTTTGACATCTTTGATTGTTTTTGAATTACTTTGTGACATATTAAGTTATTATTCAAAAAAATAAGATTTGTAAATATTATTTGGTTTGGTGTAATTGTTTATTGTGCCCCTTGTCTGTAGGATTAAAGAGTTCTATGACTCAAGTTTATAGCTTCAACTTAATACTTATTTGGCTTTTAAGTCATGATATTCCCCTCCCATTTTAAATTAGTAGATTGGAGTAGCAATCACATAGCTTGAAAGCTTTTGGTATAGATCCCGTATGCTCATTGTATATAGAAGCTATGACCTCCTTACTTTTGATGTGAAAGTAAATTAATGTGTTACCAAAACGATGGTTCTACTTTATTATTTTGAAAAGCTTTTGAAAACCATTTGCTCACATTGTTTTTCTGTATATAATATATAAATTAATGAAATGAGCTCAACTTATGTTATTTTACAACTTTAAGCATTTCATATCTTTTTTTAAAATACTTTTCGTTAAATTGGTTTTTTATTTACAAGTTATTTGTCTTTGTTTACTCTTATAATTATGAAATGAAAGGCAAGCAAGTTCTTTTATAAGGAAACATTTCCTACTTTGAAAGTGTTTTACTTCCACAACAATATTTTTCTAAAGTTTTCATTTTAGTACTCTTGCAAGACTAAAGTTATCTAAGGAAGATGTGTTACAATTTCTATATATATAAGAAAGAAAGATAATTATCTTTAGTAAATAGGATAAAAAATAATGAATCTCAACCATTGAAAGTTGAAAATAGAGAGATGAATGGTCAAGATTTAGTGTAAATGTGGTATGTAAAACTTGTGTGTAAGTAGATCCTTACTATATATATATATATATATATATTAAAATAGTGTGTATTAGTTCTGATTCTCAAAAACAATTGGAGTCCTAACCATTAAACTATGTCATTTTGTTTAATCAAAACCAACACCCCTACTTTCACCCATCCCCTTTCTCACACATTTTGCATTAGTTTACGCTTTTTCTACTCGATTTTCTTATGCACATCAAATCTTTGCCCAAATCCAAAAATGCCCAATTGTTCCACATAATTCTTACTTGAAATTGCTAGCAAAGGGTGACTCCTCATTTAATGCATCAACCTTGTTCTTCTTGTATCAATTGTGGCAATTTTACTTAAAACCCAATACTTTCACCTATTCTTTTGTCCTTTAGGCCTATGTCCTTCTTCAACTTGTTACCAACAAAAACTCCTCTTCTTCTAGATGAATTATGGCCTAGATCTAACTGTCATCAGTTATTGTTGGTGAGAATTGAATGGTTGATGGGGCGAAAACCTATAAAAGTGGAAGGGTGAAAGTAAGGATTAAGCTTTAATTAAATAAAACGATGTAGTTTAAAGGTTGGGAATTTTTGGGAGTCAGGATTAATATGCATTATTATATATGTGTGCGTGTGATAGAGAGAGAAATGATCCACTTACACACAAGTCTTACACATTACATTTACACAAAAACTCAACCATTTTTCTTTCTACTTTTAGTGATTGAAATTTATTCATATTTATTAAAAACAATTATCTTTTTCACCAAAAAGGTTGTAATAAATTTTAAATATTAAAAGTAGAGAGATGAATGATTGAGATTTTGTATAAGTGTTATATGTAAGATTTATATGTAAGTGGAACCCTACTCGTATATATATATATATATATATATATATATCAAGGGCTACCTTGTTCTTCAATGGGGTTTCCTTCTCTTGAGAGATGAATTATATACCCTTGAAATTTGTATTGTGTGCAACACCATGTCAACAAGATCGGCTTTGGAAGGAATTGATGACTAAAAGGGTCTACACAACTTATCTCCATGTCAAAATATGCTATTGTTGACACATTACTTAAAATTTCAAAAAAAAAAAAAAAAGTTTTAAAATTGAAGGAAATTGGGAGTTGCCAGCTACCCAAATAATGATGAAGTAATTGTGATTTGTGAGATATTGGGGTTCAAGGCTTCGGTTTAGAGTGAAAAGGGCACACATGCACCTTATAATCTTTTGCCTAGAAGACAGGTGTATACTTTAAAATTGGGGAGTTTATTTCAACTTATAAGAATGTCCTTTAGGATTATGGCCTTAACCCTTAAGTGAAACAAATCAAACATGCATGGGTATACATGTAAAAATTGGAAGTTTTGAACTTAGTTGAATAAAATTGAAAATAAATGTTTCCAATTGAAGCCAATTTAAACTAAGGGACTAAATTGAACAAATCCAATAACTTTTGGATGCATTAAATAAATAGAAAATGAAGGATGTAATCGCCCAAATTTGAGAAGGTGCGTGTATCAAAATAGGATTTAAGAAATGTAGAGCATTGACCCATTTGAGCATTGACCTTTGATTAGGGTTAATTGGATTAGATTAAATTAAATGAATTAAAATCTAATTAAAGTAAATTAAACTTTAATTTAAGAAATTAATTATAATTAAAAAAGGATAATTAATAATAATTAACTAACTTAATTAACCTCAACAAACTTAATCAAATCATAATTAATTCAAATTAAATTAATTAAGTCTTTTTTTCATCAACCAAATAAATTTTTTTATTAATATAGAGTACTCGGGGTGTTCATATTTGATCCAATCCGATTGATCTGATTTAAATTGATTCAATTCAATTAAAAACCAATTCAAACTAATATAAAATTGGGTTGGTTTAAATTATAAAATTTTAAAACCGATATAATTGATTTGGTTTATGATTTTATCTTCAAACCGCCCCGAGCTGCCTGATTACAAAATAAAATCCGATTACAAAATAACTTAATTAAATAATATAATATAATTTTTTGTAAGTATTTTAAAATTTCTTTTTTTTTATTTTACAAGATAATAACTTCATTAATTTAATTAAAAAATAAAAATAAAACATCTCCATATTCCTTAAGTTATTTTTTCATTTTAATCATGCACCCTGACCCTAATTCTAAAGTTTTAATTCACTCGTAACTCTATCCCCTGAAAATTGGTTTGCGCCTTTACTGTTAGAATCTTGAATTTCTAATTTGTTTCTAAAATAATATTATGATTCTCTTAACTAAGTTTTAAAAAAGTATTATTCTAAAAGTGTTAAAACAATATAATAAATCTAGTCTTGATATTCTACTATAAAATATTTGGTTTAGAAGTTTTAAATTTTGATTATCAATGCTTGTAATCAATTTTAGTGATATTTATATTACATTTTATTTACTTTTAACAGGATTTAGAAGATATAATTAAATTATTAGTGCATTAAGAAAAAAAACTAATTTTAACTTTTAAGAATTATTTACCCTGTGTTAGAAACTTGAAATCATCTTTTATTATTCTTGGTGCCTTTAGTGATGTAACCAAGAAGAATTTTCAGAGTTTTTCAATTTTTACAAATGTAAAAGAGTATAAAAACTTATTTATAATTTATACCTTTTATTATGTTTTTACTAATTTGGATGTTAATGTATTTTATAGTTATGTTTTCTATTTAATGTTAAAATATTTTTACATTATCTCATATATTCGATAATAATAAAAACCGATCAATCCAACTAAACAATATCAATCCGATTTAAGTTAGATTGGTTTGGTTATCAGATAATAGTGAATTGAATTGGTTTAAAAATTTTATTAACCGATTAAAT